ACTATTAACACTAAGTGTTTTGAATACCGTTTTCACTGAGGCAATACTTTTTTTTGGTTTATTTTCCCTATGCTATGTGTACCATGTGGATCAACGCATACATATGTTCCGATTAAAAATTGTGGTGGTTTCCTTTTGCCCTTTGACTAAGGCTCTATGAAATTAAGACTAAGGTTATTGAAGCGTATGGTGTCCTTGTTTTATGGAGCGCACTAGACAAAGTCGCTTATGTTAACAAGCTGGGGAGAGATAGAGAACTAATATCAGCCTTATTTAGTATCAGAGAGGCACCTCGGACGACCGCCACTCTAGGTTAACGCAAGGCTAAACGTTGTGCCCATAGATATAGCGACAAAGCTGTCGGCCCTAACCGAACACGTCACACCGATGTCGGGTTCGAGTAGATTCTTCAAGATCATCATCTTAACAGGCGATGTCCTGACGAAAGGTACTATCTGGAACCATGGTCCTGTGAACTTATTCACGATTAAATCGAAGTTGGATGGGGAGATATGTTTAGGCCAGACCGATACCAAGCTATAAGGCACCCTTGAGAAGTTGTCGTCTCGTAAGGAGATATGAAAAAAACTTTGCTGGTTAACGTGGACGGCTTCTACTTGCACTTTCCTTTTTGTATGTTCTATTTTCGAGTTTGTTATTCATTCAGTCCTCCCATTAATGTTCGACTTTTAAGTGTTATCAGGCATTTTCACATAGACCAAAATCGTAAAGACAGCAACTAGCAGGGCCAAGAAACTGCAAAATACATCCTTATAAATAACTAAACAAGAGAGCGCTCGTCAGTGGCTTCTATCATCTACTCCACCACCAGAAATGGCTACCGCTTTGTGCAACATTCAAGTTAATTGGCAATGTGCTGCATCATCTTGTGGTTATGCCTGCAACTGCCACGAAAGTCAAGTTGGAAATGCAAGCCAAGGGGATAATGCTGACCGCGCTGTTTTGCTGTGTTGCATTTTCGCCTGGCTACGCGAAGCTCAACGCAGATTTCTCGAGTCAAATTTGAGCTGTTTTAGGTCAAGGTAGCTTCCAGTGCGCTTCACGCTATGCAAGAATTTTGCAATAAGAAAAAAAAGCAACAACGTTGATTACCAACAGACACCCACAGACCAGAAAACCTCCAGGTAAAACGAATTTAACTTGGAACATAAAAACCAGAATAGGATCAAAAATCAACGGTAAACTGTTGTAATTGGATGCATTTCCAAAGTTACAATATCCACTAACATTTACATGCACATATTTTGATATGCATCCACACAAATGCCCATACATATGTACATATTTATATTAGGGTGTCCGTTATATACCTCGTTGGTTTTGCAGGGCCCCCTAAATTTTTAGTTTGTGACAGGTGGCAATAAATAAAAAAGCTCTGTAAAAATTTACCTTTTTTTCAACTCGAGTTGGCGCTTGGAAACTTTAAGTAAATTAACATTTTTTGTCAGACAATAATTAACATGTTGTCTGTTGCTTCGATACCCCCCAAAAAAAGTTCAAGTTTCATCTTGAACAACTTTGAAAGGAACGAATTTATTGAAATCATGTGAGATCCTTTTTGTAGAGCGTTCAATTTCCTACAGAATATACATCTCCCGGTTTCTTTACACCTACTGGCTCAGAAGAAAATGTGTTAAGTGTAAAATGTAGCAAAATCCCATTGTTTTCAATGAGAAATGTGCCACGGCTTAACATCAAGATTAAAAGTTTTTTATAGTCTTATATTTCGTCTTAGGTCAGAAACTAAAAATTTAGGGGGCGCGTGCCAAAAAAAAGCCAACTTGGTAAATATGTAACGGACACCCTAATGTATATATATTGGTGGCATAAAAGTGCACAGATGCAGCAGGATTTTAGAAACAGGTGTACAACATACACACATTCAACTAGGCTACATCACTCCAACTAATGTAATTTTGTAGTTTCTTGATGCCTTACATCCAAGGGTTGCGCTTTCTCGGATGTCATTTTTTTATTTTTAGCACCAATGCACCCTTCGATTTGCTTTCAAGACATGTGTAGGTGTGTAAGTATGTATCTGCGTGGCCTTATAAACGAAATTATTGTGGGCGTTGGCAGTAATCTTGATCAATTAGTTCTCTTAAAGCGTGGGTGGTGTATGTAATTCTAAAATTGTTTGCTCACTGATTAGTCAGTAATGGTGAATAGTAGTAATGGTAATAGTGATAACGTTGATGATGATTATAGTGTTAATGGTAGGGGTAATGGTAATGATTATGGTAATGGTAATGATTATGGTAATAGTAATGGCAGTGATTATGATAATGGGAATGGTAATGGTAATGCTTATAATAGTGGTAATATCCATGATAACGGGAGTGGTAAAGGTATCGATAATAACATTGGTAATGGTAATGTATAGAAGGTTAGATTTGGTTAGTTAGAGTGGAAGCCATATTTTATCATGTTATCGCCATTTCGGATTTATTATTAAATGGCTGGTCAAAGTAAAATAAGAATGAAAGTAAAGGGTTGCTAATGAAAAGAAAATGGGGGAAAAGCATTTTGGTTTTGTTTCTGTGTAGCAAAACTGTCTATCAGAGGATGTAAGAAATGTCAATGAAAACACTAACAGCCGGTGTGAAAAGTCTTCAGCCCTTAATCCCAAAAATCCTTTTCAAAGTGTTTTCGTTGTCGGGCAGAACATGGTATTGCTGAATAATCATGATGCAACTACTACCAACTTCTAATTGGTTCATGCTGAAAAATAGCTTTGTTCCACACGCCTACCGGGCTGCTCCGGTAGTTAGAGCGTGTTTTGGGGACCCGCGGGCTCGTGTGGAATAAACCTAATATATTGTGGCGAATACTGCGGCAACGCGAAGCGAACAACGAGAAATAGGCAGAATGTTCGAGGAATGAATTAGAATATTCCACAAAAAGAAACGTCAAGTTGGATGAACACTGCGAACAGCAAGAGAAAGAGAATGAGCGATGAACTTCAGAACGTTCTAGAGTTGCCATGAGTGCAAGCGCAGGTATATAAGGACGCCACCAGACACCGGAGTGAGTTAGCTACAAGTCAGCAAGCTACAAGTAAAGTGAGTTCCGAATAAGCAAGCTATAAGATTAATTGTGTTAACAAGTTTAGTAAAGCGTTGTAATTGCTTTAACGAGTATTGTAAAGTGTTTTTACTATATTAGCGAGTATTGTAAGTTGTTTGTTGTACAATAAAGTTAATTGTAATACAATTTGGTCATTGTGAGCATTTATTTAACAATCCAGCGATACGGGCCATAACTTATTTGGGAAATCCCTCAAGGTTTCGAGGATAATCGTAACAATTGGTGTCAGAAGTGGGATTGTTAAATAAATCCCGAAGGAGAAACTACTGAAAATGGCGAAAATTCAGGATCTAAAGATTGAGGAACTCAAGCAGGAGTTGGAGAAACGAAATTTAGCAACCTCCGGAAGAAAAGTGGAGTTGCTGTCACGGTTGCGAGAGGCTATGGAAAAGGAAGGCATCGACGTTGACAAATACGACTTCCATCGTGAGGACGACGAGGCATCCTTGAAGGACAAATACAAGGAAGAGGTTGCTGGTTCATCGAATGATGTGGAGAAGACATCAGCGATGCTTGAAGAGCAGGGAAAGGCTCACATGCAAGCGCTGGCGACACGTTTATCATCAGAGGTATCAGCGCAGGTGTCATCCCGGCTAGAAACTCATCTACTGGCACAAGAGGCACATATATCATCCCAGCTGGAAGCACAGGATGCAAAAATTACACAAATACAGGACAAAATCGAAGAGAGACAGGAGCATGGAGGATAAATCCGCTGCGTTATTCGTCGCATTGAAAAGACCTGCAGCGGAAATCTTGCAGACTATTCCCGACTGTGAAAGGAACAATTACGATGCGTTAATGGGTGCAGTGGAAAGACGGAGCTGGAGAATCGTTGCCAGAAATCCAACGAGACTTTAGAGGAATTCGCCTCTGGGATTGAAAGGTTGGCTCATTTGGCAATTGGAGACGCATCTGGTGAGCACCTTGAAAGGGTAAAAATCCAGAGGTTCATCAACGGAATGCGGGACATGTATACCAAGCGAGAGACGTACGCGAATCAAAGGGCAACATTTTCTGAAACCGTCTCGTATGCTCAGACACGTGAAACGGCAGCACTCCTAAGTAAAGTAAGGTACACACCCATGAACGAAAGACACAAGATCACGTAAGAACAAGAGAGTGAAAAAAGTCGATTTTTTACGCCATCTTGTTTCACTGGAAAACGAGCGAAAAGTAAACAAAGCAAAGAAAACAACGAAACCCATAATTAGCCAAAATTATTGCCAGCCACTTTAAACGCACAATTTAGGTAAAATGATGCAACAAAATGCTTTAAAATGTGTTGTCATGTTGAATTAACTCTTTACTTGAATAAAAGTGTAAAATAGTGTTGCTTGTGATGTAAACAAACGCTCAGCTGACGAACCCGCTTTCGCAAACTTTTTTCTCAAAACCAGTTATAAATACCATGATAAAAATATAGTAAGGTAGAACCGCTGAGAGTCACTTTTAAAATTCTTGACGTTTCCAAACACTTTAATTTTTAAATTTACTCACAAACTCACACACACATTTTCATTTTCAATCTCAAGCAACAACAATTTCGAACAATTTCATTTTTTTATTTTCACTTTTATATGATTTTAAAATGTTGGCAAACTTCAAAAAAAAATCATGGCCGACAAATTGAGAGAACGGTTATACCTTGCTATGTTTTTATCATGATAAATACAACGTCGCGTTCTTACGTGATCTTGTATTTTTGGTTCATGGTACACACCAACATGTTGTCTCAAATGATCAGAAAAATATTACGATCATCTAACACGCAACTGTTCCGTTGATCAGAAGTACACAACAGCGCGTTCAGAAGGCAAAATCGCAACAGTTACTGAGCTGTTGCGCCTTCTGAACGCGGCCCAACATGTATGAGTGAAAATTTTCGATATTGCTTACAAAACTATCAATGTTTTCGATAGTCAAAGACCATCGATACTATCGATAGTGCCATGGAAGTTTTCCGTCTCTACTCCTGTTCCTTGATTTGCCCATTTCCATAGTGAATCACATCAACAAATCAAAAAATTTCAACTTTTTGCGGTTTATGTGAAGATTAGATGCTAATTTTGTTAAACGATGGAGGAAGACAAAGTTGCTTTGAAGAGCCAACTAGTCACAAAATTAAATTGGAGCCTGGAGGGTTGTCCTGTGAATGCGAAGTCTGCGAGGTATTTATAATGAAATACATAGCAATTATGCATACATACATAAATACAATTAATTCATAAATATGTCTTAAGCAGCTTAGAGTCAATAGAAGACAGTGCGATACCCGCAGGCCACTTGGAAAACAAAACCACAGAAGAAACTCATGCAGTTAACGAACTAAAGATTAAGCAGGAAGATACCGAGGCAAATACAGCGCACAATGAGATAGGGGAATACAATGGATCGATTAGTGAAAATGAATATAATTTTCAACGAGGCATTGATTCAGTGCATGCCAATAATGGAACAAGCATTGAAATTAGAGACGATAATGTGCCAAATGAATATTTTGTGATAAGTGAGATTGATTTGGGCGAAGAAGCAAATTATTACTTTGATCCTACGAAGAGAAAAAGAATAAAAAAGTCAACAGCTCTGAAATATATTGACCAGTTACAACAATATGCGCTGCAGAATGGTTTAACAGAGGTCTACGACAAGCTGAGTGAAATTGAGTTGTTAATAAAGTAATTGGTATTTGAAATATGCACTCCATAATTTTATAGCTCCAACAATTTCTTGTAGCAAGGCAGCATCAGTATCTTTTATTTCTAAATGACAGTAGAAAGTTATAAAATTTGCTTAAATGGGCATTTCTGAATGGTTAAAACTTGAGAATATACTACAGTTTGTGATTTAGAACAAAGCGACTGATGCTTTGCATTGATGCGTTTAGATTATGGTGCTATATACGTACATATTTACATATGAAGGGGTTAGAATCATAAGGGTCTAAGTGACATTTTTTGAAAATATAAGTTATACCCATATTTATAGTTAAATATAGTATTTATTTGGCGACAAAGCGTGAACATTATGTGAATTAGTTAATTAACCTGCATTCATTTAGGTAAGAATCATTTCAAATGGATGTACCCAGAATTTACAAGAAGTAATCAACTTTAACTTTAATTATCTTAAAACAATGAAACAATGTCAGACCTACTAAGATCCTTTTGATTCTAACCCCTTCATATGTGTATTAAATTTGTTGCTATGTTGTTTGAATAGTTTTCTTATTTTTCAAAACCACTAACCAAATTATAATTACAGGCTAACTAGTCCGAAAAGTTTTACAGAACGGCGCACAGCAATTAATGAAAATAAAAATCAACGTAGTCAACAGGAAATTGTCTTCAATGAACGTTATACAGACAAAACGGATTCATATCCTCACTTGGCACAATCAACCAACTCTTCTGTTTTGACGACAGTTAGTCCAGTGGTATATGCATCCAATAGTGGCCCAGAATTTGTCAGGGAAAATCAAAATAATACAAGTAAAACAGATTTTAACAGAGAAAATACGAGGTAATTTTTTATTCGACTTCCAAAAAAGGAGGAGGTTGTCAGTTCGTCGGAATATATTTTTTTTATGTATTTTACCGCATAACTTTGGACCACGTTAACTGATTTCGAAATTTCTTTTGCATTATAATCTGGTTTAGATCCGATTATTGGATCATAATATATATATATATATATATATATATTTTTTTTTTAAGTCGGTTCTTTTTGCTAAAAATTATTTGTTAGAACATTGTTATTATGAGTCGATTATGGATTTCAACGCAAGCTCAGTTGCCAGTTGCCGTAATAACATTTCAGCCACTGGCAACCGAACTGCCATACGTAATCACCCGTTAATTTGTAATTAATGTTTTGTTATTTTCATGTACTTAGATGGAAAATATTTTGCTCTTTTCATTTGCAAGTTTAATAAGGAAGAAAACTAATGCTGAGCGAATGAGAGAATACAGAGAAAGGAAAAAACAGCGCAGGCTACTGGAGTTACACCTTAATGGCAATACAGATATTGTAAAGTAATTTTAAAAAGAAATTTATTAGTGTTCATTAGAGCAATTGCTTGTAGATAGTTTGGGTATAAAAAGCTACTTCTTTCCTTTTGCAGATTAAAAAAGACTCCCGCCGAGCGAATGAGGGAATACAGGGCGCGGAAAAAGCTACTTGCACAACAAGCCTTCCTCTGCGCCTCTGTGTCATATTCAAAAACTGATCTTACTTCGGGACATAGTGGGTTATTTAAATTTAAAAAGTACTTAATCATTAAATGACATAATTATTACAAATTAGTGTATTCATAGAATATATATGATTTAAAATTTTATCATAGGCATATTTTAATAAGTAATTTTACTCTATTCTAGGGATTCAAATTCAATCAACGCCAGTGTCGTAAATGAGGATGTTGTTGAGGTGTATGACCTCAGCGAATCGGACGGGAGCGTAACTCTTTGTAAAAATGAAAATATTTCGCAAGATTTCCCTCATGAAGAGTAAGTTTGGCAGTATATAATTTTTATAAGTATCAACATTTTCAACGAAAACCTGTGCATAATTTTTAGTCGCCTATGTATTTGAATTCCTAACAGGAAAAAGATTGTTTCTAAAAGTAAATTAAGTAATCCGTGTATCTTTTAGTGACCCTATCGCCGTGAATGAAAGTACGTATTTGTGTGAAGCCAGCTTATCGGACATTGGCGAAAAAATATATGAAATCGAAAATACGTCACAAGATTCCCTCTGTGCGGGGTAAGCTTTAACCTCATTTCACTATATTATTGGAAAGATTATTATATTCTCTCCCTCGCATACATATGTTCACATATTTTCTAATTATTCAAACCCACCGTTTAAGGTTGAACACGCTCGACGGCATTACAGTACAGGAAAGCAATACGCAAAATGTAGAAAGTGAGCAAGATGATGGTACGGTACTTTCGGAAGAAGACCAAAAAACTTGTGAATTATTAACGCCGTTAATTGACCAAGGTTTGAGAAGAGAAAAAAGACCGGAGGGCAAATCAACGGAACACGAACGTCGTTTTAAGGAAAAGAAACTAATAGAAAAATTTAGATCTTCGCGAGCGAAAGAAATGAGTGATGTTGAAAAACGAAGACAGCGATGTGCGGAACGCGTTCGACGTTGGAGAGAAAGGAAAAGACAGCGCAGGCTACAGGAATCTAACCTTAATGACAATACAGATATTGTAAAGTAATTTTAAAAAGAAATTTATTGGTGTTCATTAGAGCAATTACTAATTGCTTGTAGCTAGTTTATGAATAAAAACTACTTTTTTCATTAGATTAAAAAAGACTCCCACTGAGCGAATGAGGGAATACAGGGCGCGGAAAAAGCTCCTTGCACAACAAGCGACAGAGGAAGTGTCAAATTCAAAAACTGATCTTACTTCGGGACTTTCTGGGTTATTTAAATTTAAAATGTACTTAATCAATAAACGACATAATTATTACAAATTAGTGTATTCATAGAATATATAAAATTTTGCATTTTTTAATAAGTAATTTTACTCTCTGTTCTAGGGATTCAAATTCAATCAACGCCAGTGTCGTAAATGAGGATGTTGCTGAGGTGTATGACCTCAGCGAATCGGATGGGAGCGTAACTCTTTGTGGAAATGAACATATTTCTCAAGATTTCCCTCATATAGAGTAAGTTTTGCAGTATGTATTTAATTTTTATATCAACATTTTGAATGAAAACCTGTGCATAATTTTTAGTCACCTATGTAACAGGAGCAAGACTGTTTGAAAAAATAAATTAAGTAATCCATGTATCTTTTAGTGACCCTATCGCCGTGAATGAAAGTGCGTATTTATGTGAAGCCAGCTTATCGGACATTGGCGAAAAAATATGTAAAATTGAAAATACGTCAAAAGATTCCCCCGATGCGAGGTAAACTTTAACCTTATTCCACTAGATTAGAAAATGTGTTATATTTTCTCCCTCGCATACATATGTTCACATAGTTTCTAATTATTCAAACCAACCGTTTAAGGTTGAACACGCTCGACGGCATTACAGTAGAGGAAAGCAATACGCAAAATGTAGAAAGTGAGCAAGATTATGGTACGGTACTTTCGGAAGAAGACCAAAACACTTGTGAATTATTAACGCCATTAATTGAGCAAGGCTTGAGAAGAGAAAAAACACCGGAGGGCAAGTCAACGGAACACGTACGTCGTTTTAAGGAAAAGAAGCCAATAAAAAATGTTAGATCTTCGTCAGCGAACGAACTGAGTAAGGATGAAAAACGTAGACAGCGATGTGCGGAACGCGTTCGACGTTTTAGAGAAAGGAAAAAACTTGAAAAACTGTCGGCCATGGGCAATCTATAACGCAACTATCTCATATATAACAAATGTTGAAATTTGTTTCATTAACATTAAGCATGAATAATTTTAGCTGAGGAAATTTCCTTTAATTTTCTATAATGTTCACCAACCAATGATTAGGCTAGTAACCAAGTTGTATATATAATTTGAAAAAAATTTGTATTAATAGTACACATATTTTTTCTTTCACTTGTATTTACTACATACATACATACATACATACATACATATGGACATTTATACCTAAGAAAAACCGCATTAACGAAAAACCGATTTGATTCAACACATATTTATTCCTAACGTTTATTCCTCAGTCTTCATAGCGCACTCGATTAAACCGTATTGAAAGGTAAACAAACTCCGTTAGTTTTATTCGATATCTATTTAATAATAAATTTGCGCCGTGGACCGAAATAGAAGCGAACAGTGATTTCAACGCGTATTGAAATTTTGTTTATGCATCTGTTTTGAATCGCACCGACCTGAGTCACAGCGATTTATGTGTCGGTATAAACAAGGTAACAGTTTTCATTACTAAGTATAAAAATACAAAGAGTAAATATGTAAGTAAGCAAATAAAAATCATTTTCAATGTAAAATATGAAAATGATACACCGAGTGAATTTCAAACCCATTAAATTTGAATACAAAGTAACTGGTTGAAGTTCACTGGAAAGTGAATCGCGGAACCTGCCTAATTGTTTGTGTTCATAATTTGCCATTGATTTTTTCCAAAACCCGATTCATTTCAGTCAACGTTTGATCCAATTTCGTAATAACATTTTGATGGTTTACGGAGAGTATTTCCTCCCTTTCTCTGCGTTCTTCTAAGCTTTGGATTATCGTGTTACAAATTTCAGAAAAATTCCCTCTTTGAAAATTTACAGATTTTTTAGTTTGTTTAGTTTTCTTTTTAAAAGGGTCTGAAGCGGGAGAAGGCATACCATCGCTAGGTAGGAAAATTGAATCGAAGGGAAATTCAACATCACTTTGAGCTTTACTAATTGCAGTTGGGTGTGGCGCATTTGAAGGCTTCAACTAAAATCAGAAAAAAATTTAAATTAGTTTTTAGGATTAAAAATCCAAAGCTCTCGTAGATGTATATATTTGACTAGTAATTTATAATATAATCAAAGCATAGGTACCTCAGGCTGGCGTAGTTTTTTTGTAGGAACTTCGTGGTTTTCAGTTTTTTTACATTGCGTTAACTTCAATAGGTCTTCACGACGATACCTTGAACCGGTTTGAGCTGCGTTTTTACGTGCTCGGTAACGTACCATACTTTTCCAAATTGTAAATGCCTTTAATTTTTAAATTGTTATAAAAATGTATACGTGGGGTATTAGGAAAGCCAAAATTTATGTTATACTTCTTTCCATTTTTTTAAAGTCCTAGTGGGACCTTTCATTGAGTTAAGTTTTTCTGCTAACTGAGACCATAACTCTTGTACATGGAGAGGAGCAATCTTTCCATACCAGCGCTTTTGTGAAATTTCAGGGTGCTTCTTACAGAATTCAATATAGAATTTAATTTGTCCTTTTGTCGTCCGCTCGAACTTTCGTCCTCTAAGCCAATATATCAAGTAGAACGTTATTAATTTAACAAATTATGCATGCACATACTTACATTTTCTGCGATTTTGCTGCCATTAATATAATTGTGCTTTCCCTTGTTAGATTATTTCAACGATTCAAATTTGCATTAAAACGCTGTTAGTGAAAAGTTTAGGGCGATCGAAATTCACAAAAACATAAATACAACGAAGTAAACAATAAAGCAGATATGCGGCTTAGACCTGGTATACTATCGATAGTTGAAAACTGTCTCCACTATCGATAGTTTTTGAAAACTATTATTTTTTTTATTCAAGAAAATTAACAATACAGTTGACAAAAAAAAATTTAGTTATTGGAACTTTTAGCAACTATAAGCTTACACTGAGTTATAGTAAAATTTAATAAGCTATAAAACCGCTTACACACAATTTTTATAGAAATTCGAATTAAAAAGCTTGAAATTTTAATGCAGTTTTTTATGTTTTGTACAACTTTTATAAAAAGTAGTGACGAAAAAACAAAAAAATAGTCAAAGCTGCTAAAAATTTTGTGGTGTTGTTATTTTGACCAGTACTTTATTTGTTTTCTTATAATATGGTAAAATATTAATAATTTCCTTGTCCGGATTTTGATATGCGCCTCCGTATTTGATCTCAGTTGAACTTATATAAGTATGAGTTGTCATTTAAAGGAATATCTTTTGTTTTGTAGTATTAGAAATATGTTATTATAGCCAATCTCTCTTCTTTGTACTTCAAAAGGGACAAACAAAATCCGAATTTAATTTTTCCATATAAAAAAAAAAAATCAGATTTTGCCTGTCGCTATTCAAGTGGTTACAACNCATCTTGCATCTTGACGGCTGTCGCAATTTAACACACAGCACTTCATTTTATTAGTTTTTACGCAGTCTTCAACTCAAAAATCACTCACAAATTGCAAATTAACACAATTTAAACAGATTTTTGACATATAATTAAATTTCTCTTTCGCTGATTTGTAAACAAAAGTTTGTTTACAAGTTACCACAACTGTCAAAATCGGCAAAACCAAAGTAGCGGTACCACTGACGGCGCCACCTCTGTTCGCTGCACCGTGATTAACAACCTGACAATTAAGTAGATTGTGACATTTCGTGCTACCGTATCCAATATCTAAAATCCTCCAAATTTTGTTATTAATTTTTTGTTTATTTACAATCGAAATTTGAACGAGTAAAAGGTATTTTGTTGGGTACGGCTAGGTTATTTGTATAATAATTTTGGGTTATTGTGTGCAAACGCTTAACCCAAAGCAAAAAAGTTTAACACACACGTGTGGTCAAACAATTAAGCGTTAGTTTAAAATAATTATTTCAAATTTTCAGATATAAATTTATGAATAACTTCGGTTTGAAATATGGATCTTTTTGTAAAAAATACTCTGGTCAGCATACCCGGACTGATGAGGGTTATTTTTTCTAACCGCTGCCGAAAGCCTTCAACGTGGTAAGGTATTTTGCGCAAAAATCCTGTGGTTAGCGTAACTCGAGTTTACATTCTCCCTGTCAAAATGATGATTATACACCACTTTTCAATGCGTTTCCCTCCCCCCTCCGTCTCCGCGAGTGGCAGACGGTGTCAAACGCCTTTGACAGGTCCAACGCTACAAGAATAGTTCTCTCACAGGGGCCGTTGCGGATAAGGCCACGTATTATCTGAGTGACTATAGCATTAAGGGCTGTTGTTGTACTGTGTACTTTACGAAAACCATGTTGATGCTTCGATGGGGTTAGATGGTTCGTGAAATACGGGAGCAGCGAGGCCTCTAGTGTCTTAGCTACCGGGGAAGGAGTGTTATCGGTTATGATACGATTCTCCTTTGTTAGTTGGTTTCCCCGGTTTGAGCACTGGGACCACTGTCCCAACCTTCCAGATGTCTGGGATGATGAGAGTGGCCATTGAAAAATTGAGGACTTCCGTTAGGTACGCTACGCCCGCAGGACCCAAATTTCTCAGCATCAGCATGCATTTTCCGTCCAGACCCATGTCTTTGGAGGCTTTCGTCTTCCTGATGGCAACCTGAACTTCACCGCTAGTGAAAGCGGAGCACAAGTCGTTGGCAGTCTCGACGCTTGGCTTTTTCCGCCGGAGAATGCAGTATGAACTGCCGGCTAAAATAGTTCACGCATCGCTCCGGTTGCGACGAAGCATGGTCGCCGAAAGAAATTTCGACCCTGTCGTCGTACTTCGTCAGATTGGACAGAGACCTCACGGTTGACCAAAGCTTACTCATACCAGAGGTGAAGTTGCAAGTCTTCAGATGCTCTTCCCACTTTTTCCGCTTGTGCACGTTCACAAGCTGCCGAATCTCCGCGTTTAGATCCCTAATACGGGGATTTCCGGGATCGGCCTGACGAAGGTTGTCACGCTAGAACAGCCGCTTCAGCAGGGAAGTTTGGACGAAGGTCCCTAATGCATCCTGTCGGTACGGAGTGAGCTGCAGCAGCAGTGACAACCCTGCGGAACTTATGTTCACCAAGGTAGACGTCGGTTGCTGTGGGGAGCACAGCGAAGGTGCTCTCAGTAAATTCCGCGAAGCCTTTCCAACCAGCTGTAGAAAAGTTGATATAAGTCCGGTGTTCCGCGGAAGCAAAGTCGGTTGGTTTATCGATCGAGATGACTATGGGCAGATGGTCTGATGCCAAAGTCAGCATATGTCGCCATGATACGCTGTTTTCAGACCAGCGCTGACTATTGTTATGTCGGGCGAGCTGCAGCAGCTACCCATAATCCTGGTGGATGCGTCGTCGTTCATTGTGCAGAAAGATCGTGGTGCGCTTCAAAGTCGCCTACTACCATATGGTTTTCACCTCTGAGGAGCACACCTTTATCAGGGTGATATTCTGCCGGGCAGCAAGTGACAGGGATATGTATAAGTTAAATATTTCGAGCTCAACATCCGGATAGCAATGCCCTGACATTCCCTGCGGTCGATGTCTACTTCAACAAGACGACACTGCACGGTGTGGTGCGTGAAGAACGCTAAGCCACCACCATTATCTCGCTCGCGATCTCGACGGTGCACGTTGTACCCGGCACAATTCAACAATGTTGAATTGCTGTGGAACTTCGTCTTTTGGACCGCAGCTATCAATATACCATGCCTTCCCATGAAGACGGTTATCTCTTCGATCATGCAGTTCGTTACGGTTAAATTGAAGGAGCTCCATGTGGTTTGGGAGACGTGTAGTTATGCGGGGTGTGAGGGATGTGTGTGGCCTTGCCGCCATTGGCTGTGTGCGCTGCTGTGGAGTTTGCCGCCCTGTGGTGGTAGTGGGTGGCGTCGCAATTGGGGTTTGCGACCGAGCTGCGCAACACGGCCTCTCGAAGTTCCTCGTTCAATCTCGTTGCACTTGACTGATGTCACGTTACGGAATATCCTGGTCTGACATACCGTGCAGATTGTAGGAGGAACCTGGAGTATTTGGTGGCGGCGTGTGGGTGGTGGTGCGGGTGTGTCTGTTGTGTGGTCTGTCGTGGTTGTGGTCTATTGTGTTGTTGTGTCGTCGTGCTGTGGTGTTTGTGTTGAGCTGCTCCGGTGGACTGGGATTATCTCAGAAGGCTGCTCTGTTTGAGTAGCAGCGGGCCACAAATGATGTGGTCCGTAGTCCTGAGCAGACTCGGAGGTGACTCCACCCGTCGCAAGCATTGCACTTGGCTGAGGTGAAGTTGTGGTGTAGTCATCTCTGCCATACATAGCAGGTGTAGGTTGCTGGCCCTGGATTTGCTTCGATGCCAGCCATGAGCAGAAGAATGCGTACACATGGAACTCTATGGACGAACAGCTTCTGAGATACTTCGCCGACCTAAACGGGGTAAGATCGCCGAAACAACAGCCCTTAGTCGGGTAAAACCCGTGTCATTTCGGTACGTAGAACCGGCTGTCGTGGGAATGCTAGTAAATCTGACGTTATCTGCTAGTTATCTGACGGATGCCATACTCACGTATCTAGACCGATACGCACTGCCGTAACAGGTTAAACTCTTACCTGAGCGCATGACATCCAGATGTGCCCAACGAGTGCTCGGAATGCGGAGACATCCCACGACATCTCTTCGCGTGCCCATAAACCCCACTCAACAGATGCCTCTGTCCCTATGGACAAACCATATCGAAGCCGCACGCTTCCTGGGGCTTCCGTTATTTGAGCTTGACGACAACGACTGAGGGACCAGCCAATCTAGGCGGGGTTGTGCTAGCCGCTACAACAACATCAACTACAAGGATTAGATTCGTGCGAATGGTATCCGTCGGATGCATGCCTTATTCCGGTCGGAAGGATGCCATTCGCACGAGTCTAATCCTTCATACCCCTTGTTGTGTCGTTAGATACCGTAATAGGTATGATCATCTTTTGGTGTTAGCGTACGTAAAAACTCAAAGTAGGGTAAATTGGAAGAGATAAAATGAAAGTTGATGTTCAGGGGAACTTAGAGTTTTAAAAAGAAGAGCGTAAGAACCAGAGAGAGCTGCTAGTTTTTGGGCAAGACACATAGGCCCCTATTATGAGTTGCATTCGATCTTCGACTGTGGTCGAAAGTGCTGATCGAACGAATTTTCATTTGGTATAATGGCGCTCATTCGATGAAGAATAGCTCTATTGTGAATTTCGCTCGTTTAGGTTGTTCACAATAGTATATTTTTCACCGCTGAGAAGCTTTGTTTACAGATCGAGCAAACTAAATACATATGTACATATGTAAATTTGTGCAAATTAAAATGAAATAAAAAAGAAAGCGAGTTTATAAAAGCATGGTAAAAAAAGTTTTAATTAGCACAACGGAGTTCTGGTTGAACGATTCGTCAGAGAATGAGGGCTTTGAAAACTGGCCAGGAGCAGAAAACGTGAAAGTTTAAGTGCAGTCTTTCGAATATATTTTGACATACATTATATTTAAGAAATTTTGTGATCCAAATCTATTTAAAATATATTAAAACTATACACAGCACCATGATTTTGTTTTCAGAGGTCGTGCCATAAGCGTATAGGGATTTTCTTTCATATGTACAATCAGACTTTCGAGCTTGTGTTTACTATTTACGACGTTAGAACTGCTGGAAATTATTACAAATTGGTTAAAATTAGTGTCTAGGCGCCAAAAAGTAAGAAAACAAATGCAAAACCATACAGTTTTAAAATTTTCTAACACTTCGCTACACCAACAAAAGCAAAATTCTGTTCGATAGAAAATTCGATACTCAACGAAAATTTCGACACGCTTGCATAGCTCATAATACGAATTTCGTTTTCGATCTTCGATAGCCAGAGAAGATCGAAAATCGAATGCAACTCATAATAGGGGCCATAAATACAGGTAGAAGCCAAAATGACGTTGCTCTCATGAGAACCAAACCTTTAAACTTCAACTTGTTTTTATTTTAGCTCTGATCCAAAACTTTTCGTGAAAAATCCTGTAAAACTGTCAAACAGAAAAATTACTCTCAGTAAACTGACAGTAAAAAGTGAGTAACAACAAAAAGTACGGGAACAAAAAAAACAGGTTTCCTGTAAAAACGTCAACCAGTGATTGCTCGACACTTTTCATGATTTTACCAGAAGAAAAAGTTCGGGTAAAATCTGGCAACTTCATTCTCTACACAACTCTCCAAAAGTCGCTCTCATTTACAGGATTTTGGAGTACGGGAACATTTTTCCTGCAAGTTCGTGTAAAATCCTGTAAGTTCATGGAGTACTGGATCAGAGCTTTTATTTCCTATATTTCGTTACGCTTTGAATGTCATATCGTTTGTTTTTTTTTTAATGTTCGTTAATAACAAATTTTAATTAACACTTGAATTTTTGTAGTGTTGTGCGGTTTATACTTAGGGCCGGTTACTCAATGTCTGGTTAACACTAACTACAGGTAAAACATCGTTATCGACGTTACCGACACAATGTTATATGTATGGAGCCGAAGACGTCGATAACGATATTTAACCGCAGATTAGTGTTAACCAGACATTGAGTAACCGGCTCTTAGGGCCGTTTGCACCATGTCTAGTTAACGCTTCCTTAATATCATCAGGAACGTTCTAAAGATTAAATAAACAAAAAAGTTTATTCCAAACATTCAGAATGAATAAAGAAATGCAGCCTTTGTGATAATTATCTGATAAGAAACAAAGCTACTATTTGCTTCAACCAAATATATAAGACAACGTGTGAAGTAGAGAACAAATTTGGCGCCGTCAGTGGTACCGCTACTTTGGTAAAGCCGATTTTCAAAATTTTCAAGTATAAATAAACCACACCTGAGAAAACAACAAAAAAAAACAACCCACGACAGTCGGGTCTACGTAACCGGAACGACCCAGATTTATATCTGGCCAAGGACTGTCACTCCAGCAACACTCCCCAAAATGTCTTTGGGGAATTTGTATGCTGCTACAACAACAACAACAACAACAAAAATAATAATAAATGCATTGAAATTCACAACACTCACTCAAACCCAAAGTAATATTTTTTAAATATTTTATTTATTTATTTATTCTTTGTATAAATCTACACATATATATTAATTCGTATGGAACAGTAGCTTATGTCAGGAATCTGGCTTTAGTATAATGCGGCATTCCCTTTATTCTTTAAACCACAAGGAATTTTTTGATGAGACTTAATAAGAATATTGATTTGATAGTATCGGAATTATTTCTGGCACGTTTATTTGCCAAAAGTTCTTCAACGGCTCGGCGCCAGTGGGTCATTCGAAATCGTATGTTGCGAATGCCGCATTATACTAAAGCCAGCCTTTCGACATAAGCGACTATTCCAAACGAACACATATTTATACAATTTAAACTACTTTTTCATTATAGTGTTCTTACGTGATCTGCAGTGGAATTTTGGAAGTGCTACCATAAATTTTCGTTGCCAAAATTGTCCAAATAAAAAGCAGTGGGGCCTAAAATTATACGACAAGTCTGGCAGTATGTGGAGCATTCATCCAACTAGATGTTTAATGTTGTTAAGGGCGCCTGATTTCTTTTGGAGATTTTGTTGATCAAAATTAGCGACAGCGAATGTTGGAATCTGACTGCAGGCGTCATTCGCTCAAGACACTATATAATTTAAAGTCGATTTTTTCTAAAACCTGATTCATAGCAGTCAACGTTTGATCTAATTTCATGATAACATTTTGTTGGTTTATAGAGAGTATTTCCTCCCTTTCTCTACGTGCTTCTAAGCTTTTAATAAGCGTGTTACAAATTCCAGAAAAATTCCCTCTTTGAGAATTAACGGATTTTTTAGTTTGCTTTTTTGACGTTTTCGGAGCAGGTGCGGTGGAAACGTCTGAGACGGGAGAAGGCGACCTCGAAGACGAAGAAGTGCTGCCCATCATGCCATCGCAAGGTAGGAAAATTGAATCGAAGGGCAATTCAAGATCACATGTAGCTTCGCTATCTTCTGTCTGATGATGCACATTTGCAGGTTTCTAATAAATTCAGAAAAATACTAATTATTTACAGAGAAACCTCGATATAATGAAGTTGAAGGGGCAGAGCAAATGCAATGGCGGAATTAAACCAGGTGAAGTAATTAGAGCGAGAAAAATGATTTTAATACTGCCTTATATGAAAAATTGCATTTAAAATTTGTCTATAAGGCAGCCGAATGTCAGAAGATAAGACGAGAAAGCTGTTTTATTACTTCACCTGTTTATTGCGCCATGGGCAAATGCTTTGTTGCATATATAGTTTCGTCATATTTATAAAACATCAAACACGATACAGCGAAATTTCAAAACTTTGGAAAAAAATCCTTACAAGTAGTTTCTTTCTTTTTTTTAAACGAGACTAAACGTCAACATACCTAGACCCTGGTAAGTTAGAAGTGCTTGAGGCGACACTCTTGCATAGAGACGTTCAATAATCGGACTTTAACCGTCAAAATATTCCGAATCTTTGCATGCTCAAAATTTCCTCCATATATTTATGGCAGTTTTGTATGGACATTTTCGAAGCACAACGAGGCTTATTCAGGGAACTCGGCAAACATTTTTTTTTATTAAATATTTCCGTTTTATAAAAGTTCGTTATATCGAGGTTTAACTATACACACTTTAATCCTTAACAGCAGAATGTCACGTATATTTGAATACTAGTTTCTTTATATTCAATGTACCTCAGGTTGGCGTTTTTTCATAGTAGGAACTGCATCATATTTTGAGTATTTACTTTCAATTAACTTCAATAGGTCTTCTTGGCGACACCTTTTACCGGTTTGCGCCGAGTTTTGACGGGCCCGGGCACGTAACTTATTTTTCCACATTTGCAATGACTTTAAAAAGAAAATATTTAGAAAAAACTTATGTGTATGCACGTGTAATATAAATTTACTTCCTGCCATTTTTTTGCAGTCCTAGTAGGCCCATTCATCGAGTTAAGTGTGTCTGCTAACTGAGACCATAACTCTTGTATATGGATAGGAGCAATCTTTCCACGTCTTTTCGAAAGGTATTGTGAAATTTCAGGATGCTTCTTACAGTATTCAACATAGAATTTAATTTGCGCTTGTGTCGCCCGCTCGAACTTAGGACCACCTCTAACACAGAAAAAATATGAAACAATAATAAACAAATTTTGTAAAAACTTACATTTCCTCCGATTTGGCGGCCATTATTATCAAAATGTTAATTACAACCGTGATTTCTCTTATAAAGTTATTTCAATCATTAAGAATTGTAATGAAACAGAGGCAGCAATAAGTTTAGGACGAACGAAACTTATAGGAAAATGTACTTATGAATACAACGAAGTAAACAATAAAACAGATATGCATCTAGAGATGGGATAAATTTAATGATTGCCACCTTCGCACAACAAAAACCGATAAGACAAAAACTGCTGAGTCAAAACCAAGGCGTATTCACATCAGGCGGTGTTGCCAGAACTACTGAAATTTTCGCCGCTGTACTTTTAAATTTCCAAATGCTGTGTTTGTTGTACATTTGTAATCAGCCCTATTCTGCATTTCGATCACGTTCCCGCATTGCGCTCCGCTGGAATCGAACTTAGGTATTCTGCGTTACGATCGAAACGAAAGAAGAAGAGGAAGAGAGAAAAGCGATGGTTGGCGAATTATATGAGTTGTCGACAATCATCAGTAATCTTCAGAGATCAAACCTCGAAACCAAGAAGAATAAAACAAGGGGTTCCACAAGGTGGTGTTCTCTCCCCCTTACTTTTTAACTTCTACATCTCGAAACTCCCCCAGCCTCCTGAAGGAGTTTCCTTGATCTCGTACGCTGATGATTGTTCGATTTTGGCGTCCGGAATTGATGACCTCTGCTCAAAAGTAAACGGTTATCTCTCCAGCCTTTCTCGCTTCTTCACTGCAAGGAGCCTAACCCTCTCCCCAACGAAATCAACGGCGACCCTCTTCACCACCTGGACGAAGGAGGTCAGGCTAGAATTAGGCATTCACGTCGACGGCACACCTATACCGACGGTGAACAACCCAAAAATTTTAGGGGTTACCTTTGATAGCCTGCTCTCCTTCTCCGCGCACACAACCGCAGTTGTCAACAAAGTACAGAGCCGCAACAAGGTCCTCAAGTCGCTCGCCGGCAGCACTTGGGGCAAAGACAAAGAAACGTTGCTGGCAACATACAAGGCAATTGGCCGGCCGGTTCTAAATTATGCAGCGCCTGCTTGGTCACCGGGGACTAGTTGGACGCAGTGGACGAAGCTACAGACTTGTCAGAACGCCCACTCCGGACAGCGACTGGGTGCCTTCTGATGACGCCTGAGCACCACCTACACAGCGAGGCCCAAGTGCTCCCCGTACGGGAACACAATAAAAGGCTCAGTAAGCAGTTTCTGGTGGGGTGTCACAGAAGCGAACACCCTAACAGACCACTGCTGGAGGAGGAGCCTCCGCCCAGGCACGTCAGGGGGCACCTATTCGTGTACAAGGACGCAGTCCAGACCTACACAGACCAACCACTGGACCCAATGACGTACAGACGAGCGATTAACGACATTCATAGGGAGTCAGTCTCCACCTACCTCGACTCCAGGCCTAAGAATGTCGTTATCGGAGCCCAATCACCACCTGTGGAAGAGACGGAGCTTCAATTACCTAGAGAGACCCGCGTTACTCTGGCTCAGTTACGGTCTGGATATTGTAGCCGCCTAAACAGCTACCTGTCCAGACTCGACCCAAACATCCCAAATGAGTGCCCGGCATGTGGAGACTCCCCCCACGACACCAACCACCTCTTCACATGCCAGCTCAATCCGATTCAACTAACACCCCTCTCCCTTTGGTCCGACCCTATCGAAACAGCTCGCTTCCTGGGCCTACCGTTAGTTGAGCTCGACGATAATGATTGAAAAGTTGACCCGAAACAGGTGGGGCTTAGTAGTGCCGCTACAACAACAACAACAGGAAGAGAGAAAACATCTTTCGAAATCAGCTGTTTGCCTAGGAATGTGTGATATCGAAACAAAGCAAAGAAATATTTGCCACCAAACTATAGCAGCATATGAAGTTAAAGTTTGTAAATATTTGAAAATAACTAAACATATCTAGCATCACTGCAATTAAAAATAAAATTTCGTTTGCTCTTAATTTGGTGGAAACATAATTATAAGAATGAAATCCTTAGCCGCGGCGTATTTGCTTAAAGAGGAGAACGAGTCTCAGATTGCTGATGCGGAAGTTGAAAGGCGGAGATTTAGGGACATGTTTGATCTTTTTCAGATGAGTGAAGAGTCATAAGAAATTCATCTTGAACTGTATTACTCACGCTCAAAGGCAGTGAAATTATAAATGTTGTTTGAGCACTCCACAACATTTGCATTTACTACAGAGTGGAAGATTTGAACGCAAATGAATCCCGTTTTGAAAGCCGTCAGGAGGAGGGGAAGAACAAAGCTCATCTTTCCATAGCAAATCGAATTCGAGACAACATACGCACCTCTTTTTAAAAAGTTAGTAAAAACGAGTGCAATAATAAAAGCATCTTTTTTTATGTAACTTCACATTTTATGTATGTATTTATCTATGTGCATATATCTATTAATTTTATATAAAAAGAATAAATTGTATTCAGTGCATTTCACAGTCTTATTCATGATAAAAATATAGTAAGGTAGAACCGCTGAGAGTCACTTTTAAAATTCTTGACGTTTCCAAACAATTTAATTTTTATATTTACTCACAAACTCACACACACATTTTCATTCTTAATCCCAAGCAACAACAATTTCGAACAATTTCAATTTTTTATTTTCACTTTTATATGATTTTAAAATACTGGCAAACTTCAAAAAAAAAAAAATCATGGCCGACAAATTGAGAGAACGGTTCTACCTTGCTGTGTTTTTATAATGGTCTTATTTATAGATATTGGCTGCATTTCTTTATTCATTCTGAACGTTTGGAATAAACTTTTTTGTTTACTTATTCTTTAGAACGTTCCTGATGATATGTTAACGTATATCTCAAAGGCATTCTGTTTATTCCGGATGAGAAATGGGATTATCCGGAATGTATAAAGAAACGCAGCCAATGTAAACAAAAACGTCTGAATTTCCACTTTGAAAACGTCGCGCAATATCCCTTTTGGTTGCCATTATTTGAGCCAATTTTTCGTATTTCCCGTATTACCGCTCGCGAAAACACAGAAATCGAGAAAATTCATTTATGATGACTAACAATCATGCACATTATATTTCACTTATTTTTTTTTTATAAAATTTTAATATTTAAACCCACGAAAATAACAATAGAAACGTTCTCCGTCAACAAATTTGCAACTTAGAAAAGTGTAACTACGATCGAAATGTAGAATAGGTACAATCGTAAATTTCGAAGATTNAACAATCATGCACATTATATTTCACTTATTTTTTTTTTATAAAATTTTAATATTTAAACCCACGAAAATAACAATAGAAACGTTCTCCGTCAACAAATTTGCAACTTAGAAAAGTGTAACTACGATCGAAATGTAGAATAGGTACAATCGTAAATTTCGAAGATTGATCGTAATGGAACGGAACGCAGAATACCAAAGTTGCCAAACGGAGAAAATTTCGATTCGAGTCGAAATGCAGAATAGGGCTGAATGATTCTCGTTGCCATTGTGCGTACCAAATTCGCCCAACTCTCGACTTTTGACGAACGCATATGCGGAAAACAACAACAACAACAAAAATGTATGGAACGAATTCAAACCAGCTGAATTTTGCCCAATCAAATTGAGCCATTTTGTTTGCGGCAACGTTTTTATTGTGCCGTCTCGCCATGTTCTGTACGTTTTGTTAGTCCGAAGCATCCCTGTGACATAGAAAAGATTTTCTATCTGGCGGGACCTTGAGTTAATACAAGTAGCGCCCAATTTAAATATGGAATGGTTGAAACTTTCATATTAAGGAATAAGGGCTTTTTCCTCGCTATAATCGCTTATTAAAAAAAAAAATNACGTTTTGTTAGTCCGAAGCATCCCTGTGACATAGAAAAGATTTTCTATCTGGCGGGACCTTGAGTTAATACAAGTAGCGCCCAATTTAAGTATGGAATGGTTGAAACTTTCATATTATCGGGAATAAGGGCTTTTTCCTCGCTATAATCGCTTATTAAAAAAAAAAATATATATATATATCTTAAAAAGGGCAAAAAATGTGTATATATGGAATCAGGGAAAGCTAAATCGTGGATATTCTTAATCGTATATATTCAATCTCTTTAGCAGAAAAAAGTAAATTTTCATAAGATCTCGCACAATTGGTGCCAGAAGTGAAATAATTACATAAATCCAAAAGTTTGGAAATGTCGAAGTTCTACGATTTGACGATACTACCTCTCAAAAGGGAATTGGTAGAGTGAGGGTTATTCACGACCGAAAACAAAGCGGAGTTACAATCATGATCGTAAAGCGGTGGATAAATCCACGAAGGATGCAGACAAGGAAAAGGCTGCTTGTTCATCGAAGGACAAAGAGCAGGCATCTACGAAGGTTGAAGACAAGGACCAGGCTAGCATGTTAATGGCTGCAATGTCACAGATTTCTTCTCAGATGTCCACTGAGATGGTGATTTCGTCACAGCTATAAGCACAGAAGATATAGGTATCGCAGATGCTGCAATTGCAAGAAGCAAAGATTACACAAGAGCAGGAAAATTTGGCTGGAGGTCGTCTTCGCGGTTTGGAGTTGAAACGTCCAGCCACTTCGACGGGCACTCCTCAGATTAAAACTTTATCCTTTGATGTCACAATTTTTTTCCAAGTCTTTAAGATCAATATCGAAAAAACCGCTACACCAAACAAGTGGATCACGGAGTATAAATCTGCTGCGCGATTCGTTGCTTTGAAAGAACCCGCAGCTGTGATTCTCGAAACAGACCCCGAGTATGAGATGCCGTGCAAAGATGTTGCGGTAGCGCGTACTGACAGCACATTTACCAGATGGGACTGGAGATCCACTTCCAAAAATTCAACGAGACTTTATAGAAATTCGCCTCCGAGATTGAAAAATTGGCTCATTTAGCTATTGGAGATACATCTGGTGAGCACCTCGAAAATCAATGGCTCATTAGCGGAACCAATGCGAATCCAAAGCGCTCTTAAACAGACCAGCCTACAAAGCCCAACGATTAGCAGGAAGAAACCCGGAATATGACAAATGAAATATTAAAGAAAATAATCCAACTGTTGACGAAGATAAATATTGGCTCTGGCAAATGTGGATAGCAAGGCCACTTCGCTCATGATTGCAGCAAAAGTTTTAGCATGTTCAACAATTCAACAGGACGCAAATGGATAACTGATGAAAATGAACCAAACTAAAGTCAGTCTTTAAATTAAAATGAGCCAGCAGGAAGGGGCGCGTGCTAGTTCCCGCAGTTAAACGCCCAATAAATTCCATCTCACAAGTTGGCTGGAAAACGTGCAACCTCATTTTTTGTGCATGTGTAAATAGGCAAGAGTGAGTGCTGACTGTGGATACTGGAGGAAACGTTCAAACAGTGAGGAAATATTAGCGAAATGCCACATTCAAAGGAATACTTGATACAATGGCCCCATGAGAGGAAGATATCTGCTTGCTTGCATCGGATATGGGAAAGCGCAGATGCATCTAGTAGTTGTTCCAAAAGGACGAGTTCCAGATGTCTTCAGCGAGTTCCATAGAAGTCTCGATGGCGAGTACGAAGAAACGAAGAGAACCACTGAGAGGATTAAGGATAGATTTTATTGTGTTGGTTTTCGTGAGATGATCAAGGAGTGGATATCAAAATGTGTCAAGTGGTCTGCAGCCGGAGGGTCGAAGTGTAGGTCCTATGGAAAGACAAAGTGGTATAACTCAGAAGAAGAAGGCATATTCAGGTCACCAGACCGGCAGAAGTGCGACCATGTAAAGCGGTACACGTCAAAAGATAAGCCAGGTCCAATAAGGTTGTTAAACGACTGAACAACGAATCCAGACCGTTGGGGACCAAAAAACAAGGGGAAGGTGGTCTACTTAGAAAAGTTTGCTGCGTTTGGAACAGCAAGTGAGCAGCATCGGGAAGATCACACTGGAGTTCAAGTTGAGAACTAGCTTATTCTCAAGTTGAGAAACAGTCCTATTTTCGTACATAGAAAAATCAGTACGCTATGGTCTTCCACTTGAGTTACCCCAACTAACAATTTTCGTCTCACCAGACTCTACAAGCATCTTATGAGAGGATACGCAAATGTTTTAGGAGAGTAGCACCCTTATAATTTCACTCTGGTAGAGTACTACGGGTGCTTTATGAATACGTTGTCAGAATTAAATGGCGCACTTATGAGAGTTATTTTTGTCTTATAAAAAAATGATAGCTCTCTTTGTAAGAGATACGTAAGTTTCATAAAAAAAACTATTTGAATTTTTATGAGAGTATATATGCACTCTCATAATGGTATCATAATAATTAACATAACTTTGGTGGTGTTATTTTTTGTTGAATGAAGATAATTTCATAAGAATTAATTTATAGCAAATCGATGTTACATTTTCGATGGCAGAAATTAAAGTAGACTAGGATTTCATATAAGTATTATAGACCTTTAGAAGTCAATTTTCGAAATTATAAGCTAAGATTTTATGAGGATTGAAATTTTATCGATAATGAATATTTTATTTTATAGATGTTATTCCGACGTTTTGTAGTGAACTAACTGTATAATTTTTCAGGATGTCAACTAAAATCGTGCAAACTATTGAATATGGGGAAATATGCCTTACCGTTGTGCCTTACAATTGGGAGAATGTGGGAATTCTATATTGTCCAATTCAAAAATTGCTGAGAGATGCAAATTCAAAGCCAGAGGCAAATTGGACTACCCAGCCTTGCACCAAAAAAAGGGGTAAATTTAGAGGCTTTGAAGCTGCATGCCATGGTGCTATTATATTATCAACAGAAATTTCTGCATCGTGACTTTCGTTCGAGTCGTTCTGAATAGGATTACAGCTGTTATATTCTGGACGAATAGATTTTTGATGTACATTATCTACTATTTTTAGAATATTGTTTTAAAATTCGCAGTAACTCTTTTATTGGCTGTAACACTGTTGGACGTATAATCTTTTAGTTTAAGATAAATCTTCTGAATTTTACCTCTCAAATTAGTGGATCCTTTTCAATTAAACTTATCCATTTTGATTGATTAACACTGAAACAAGGTATATTGGCTGAGAGAATGATTTTTTTGATATAAGTGGACCTCTGTTGTAGTTTTGATGAGAGTAATGATTATTTTGTACTCGTAACAGTTTTATTTTACGTGTTCTAATATTCTACGTCTCATAAGGGTATATTTATAAGTGCTTTATATCTTACAAGAATTTTATTATAAGTTACATAACAATCTACTACTCATACGGGGATTTTTTTAAAGAGTATAACTCTTCGAGAGTTGAATTTTTATAAAAACGGTTCAGGAAGGTCTTATTATGAGTTTTAAAGGCTTACTAGCTCTAGTAGAATTATCATCTCATAAAAATAGTACCATGAGACCTAATTTAATTATTTTTATAAGATTTATATTATGAGGTTATCCAAGTATGTATATTAAAAGAGTCTTATGAGATCTTTTCATAATTTGTAAGAGTTTTGTTCTGGGGAGTTTGTAAGTTTGGACTGTTGAAAATCAACGTTGGTGATTTGAGAAATACCTTAGTTCTCACCTAAACCTCAAACCTAAATGTTTGTTGGGAACTTTCGCAGCTGTAATAATACAGTTTTTTTTGGGAGTTCACAATAGCTCTGATCCATTACTCCAGGAAAAATGTTCCCGTACTCCATAATCCTGTAAATAAGAGCGATTTTTGGAGAGTTGTGTAGTGAATGAAGTTACAAGATTTTATCCGAACTTTTTCGTCTGGTAAAATCATGAAAAATTACTCTCACATCAGAGGGAAATTTTGCTGCTTGACTTTTTTACAGATTTAACACGAAAAATATTGGATCATAGCTAACAAAAACGCCTGGCAACACGGGCTAAGAAATGATTGCCACTCACATGCGTATTCGCTAGTTCTTGTGGAATACTTTTAAGCGAAGTAAATAAATCGACTGATTTGTCATTAAAGTGGGTTAAGTTCAAAATAGGATATTATAATTTACTCAATTCAAACAGATATATTCGAATAAATAATTTACTTATTTTATTTATTAACTAGTCGGAATGTAGTTTAAAATTTATTTTAATTATAATTAAAGTTTGCGGAAATTTTATACGAAAGCAGCAAAACAATTTCCACAGAGAGAAACGTCAAGTTGGATGAACACGGCGAACAGCGAGAGAAAGAGAATGAGCGATGAACTTCAGAACATTCTAGAGTTGCCATGATTGCGAGCGCAGGCATATAAGAGAGACCTCACAGCGGAGTGAGTTAGTTACACGTCAGCAAGCTACAAGTAAAGTGAGTTGCGAATAAGCAAGCTATAAGTTTAATTGTGGTAACCAGTTTTTTAAAGCGTTGTTATTGTTTTAACGAGTATTTTAAAGTGTACGGTATTAGCGAGTATTGTAAATTGTTTGTTGTACAATAAAGTAAATTGTACAATTTGGTCATTGTGAGCCTTTATTTAACAATTCAGCGATACGAGCCGGATGATATTTGGGAAATCCCTGAAGGTTTCGAGGATAATAGTACCATATCTGGCATGCAACCCTGTGGCAGTTTTCGTTCAGTTTTGTTTGTTTTGGTTAAGTTAAGAAGAAGAAATAAAGGCGCAGGGTCGCCACAATGCAAGATTTTAATTGGCTGAGTTTTTACTTACTAAAATTATGTGAGAAGCTTTATACAATATATGTCATGCGTCAGAATTTTTCACGTTATCTTACGTTGAAAACATATACATATGTAACACATATTGCATACAAAATGAATTTCGGGAAAATGCAATCATCTCTGCAAAAGTTCGGGCACATACAACCCTGCATAACCGATTAGCCAATCAGCTGTATGCTGCTTTAAGTTTTCGTTTAGTTCGCTTTATTTGCAATTTTTGTTTTGTTGCTGCCTTATTAATCGAGCCCCAGCGAGTGGCATGTAAAACGCATATGACTTGTGACAGCATTGTGTGGCGATAAAGAAATTTTTTGTGCTTGTGCATGTGAAATTTCATGGCGTTACGTGTGCACATTTCGAGAATTTACATTTGCACAATTATTTTATCGGAGTTTTGAATTTGAATTGTATGAAAAACATAGCGGAAGTGGTTCGACGCAACGGACATCGAGTAACCACAGCGGGTACATTTTAAAATAGCAGGTATGTGTACGGATATTTTCAATAAAGATTAAGGTTTTTTACTTTATAACATGTGAATTTTACCAAATTTTAGAAAACAATCATATGTAAAGTGGATAAAATGCTACCTGCCAGTGGTACCGTGAACGGCTCGGCAATAGCTATGGCACAGATGACAACTCAAACGGCCGCAGCCCAGCCCTCTTTTGCGGGGAATAGCGCAAGCATCACTACCCCGCAATCTGAACGTCCTCGTATTGCAGAACCACTGCGTATACAGCGATTGGAGGCAGCACTCAACATGCGACCGTTCATGGAGTATGCTCGTCATGTATTGTCGCAGCCGTTGAGCAGTGGCGATGACTCAAACGCTTCTGAAGAAGAGGCAAAGGTTGGTGGTGTTACGGATAATTCAGACGATGAAGGAGGCGGTGCCCGCAAGAAACGTACACGCCTACTTGGTACTAAAGAAGGTAATACAGTCTTAAATTAATGAAATAAGATCCAAAGCTTTCATAATATGTATGTATGTATTTTATATGTACATATATAGAGCGTCAAAGCGTGAAAATGCATTTATTCAACTTTAATGATCTAACCAACGATCGCGAGTGGCTGTATGAAGTTTTACTCAGTGACACTGACACTGAGACGGAAATCAGCGACGAGGACGACTATATTAAGGAGTTGTTAAGAACACACATGCTCGAGCAAAAGCATAGAGAAAACTTCTATAAAAAAACAACGGTTGGCATGGCTCAAATCCATGATTCAATAATAAAAGTTTTGTTCAGAAAACATTTTTTTTCACACCCTCTTGATAAAATTGGCTCCCGTAGCAGGGCACTGTGTTTGAGTGCGTATGTGCGTGCAAACTTTTGTAAGGGAGTTATGGGAGTGTAAAAAATCGAATGTGACTAGTAAACAAACCTTTAATTATTGAATCATGGCTAAAATCAAGAAATTTTTATCATTATAAAATCATAATTTCTGTCAGAATACCCAATATGCCTACTATGGTGCTGGTATGCTTTCCAATCACGATATGTTTCCCGAACACCAGCAATCTATAGTGGGCGTGCGTAAACGTCGACGCCGCACTAAGAAGGAGAATCCTGCAAAACCACCAAAGTTGACGAAGGAGCCAAAGGTTCGTAAACCACGAAAGCCTAAGGTGGAGCAACCTGAACCTGGTGAGATACCACCTTCTGAGTTGAACAATTACGCTTTTGGGGACACGTCAGCTGTTAACGATGACGACGAGGAGGAGATTACCGATGAGATGGATAGTACCTTAGATGCTAATCTGTCACTGCTGCCACCTGGTGGTTTGGCGCATAGCGGTCGCGGACGTCGACGCAAGAGCCAACAGCAACGTACACCCGAAGTAATGGCTGCTCGTCGCCGTCGTGTTTGGCAACTTATGGCTAAGAAGGAGCTTGGACGCTGCCAACGCGCCAAGGCAAATAACCATAAAGAGATGGTGCAGAATTGTAAGCGCGTGGCAACTATGTGTTCGAAGGTTGTGCGACAACGAGCTATGATATCGCAGAAGGTTATGAAGGAAACGGTGTGGCGCGCCAAGCGTTTAACGCGCGAAATGATGGGATACTGGAAGCGGTATGAGCGCGTAGAGCGCGATACGCGCCGACGTATGGAACGTGAAGCGGAAGAGCAGCGCAAAATGGATGTTGAGATCATTGAAGCAAAACGGCAGCAACGTAAACTAAATTTTCTTATTACGCAAACGGAGTTATATGCGCATTTCATGTCCAAGAAGCTGGGACAGGGCACCGAAGAAGAGCAATTGCGTATATTGAATCAATTGGATGAAGAGATAAATCCAAGGCTAGCTGCCTATGACGATTATGACGCTGAGCATTTTAAATCGTTGGCTCAAAAGAATGCAGAACTCGCATTTTCAGCAGATCGCGACAAGACCCAAAGATTTAACGTGGCGCGGATCAAGGAAGAAAAGCAAGAGAAGCAAGACGCTCAATTGGAGGATATTAAAACGGAAACGGATAATGAAGAAGTGCCATCGTTTGTGAAGCCAGCAAAGGCAGATGTACCGCAGCCGGAAATGTTCAAGGGTACACTAAAAACGTACCAATTAAAGGGTGGGTTTTAAAAAAACTGTCAACAAAAATTAAAAACTGTTTTATCTGTAATCTTGCTACTTCAAGGTGTTACTTGGCTGGCTAATCTATACGACCAGGGAATAAGCGGTATATTAGCCGACGAAATGGGTCTAGGCAAAACTGTACAGTCGATTGCGTTTCTTTGCCACATTGCCGAACGTTATGGTGTGTGGGGACCATTTCTGATTATTTCACCTGCTTCTACGTTACATAACTGGCAGCAGGAGATGCAGCGATTTGTGCCCGATTTCAATGTGGTACCCTATTGGGGTTCACCGAATGAGCGTAAAATTCTCCGTCAATTTTGGGAACAAAAAGATTTACATACCCGTGATGCCAGCTTTCATGTGGTAATTACCTCCTATCAGCTGATCGTGTCCGATTACAAGTACTTCAATCGTATCAAGTGGCAGTATATGGTGCTGGACGAGGCACAGGCCATTAAGAGCGCATCTTCGATGCGTTGGAAACTATTACTGGGCTTCAATTGTCGGAACCGCCTTTTACTTAGTGGCACGCCAATACAAAATAGCATGGCAGAATTGTGGGCGCTGTTGCATTTCATAATGCCGACACTCTTCGACTCGCATGATGAATTCAATGAATGGTTCTCGAAGGATATCGAATCGCATGCCGAGAATAAGACTGGTATCGATGAGAAACAAATATCACGACTACATATGATACTCAAGCCATTCATGTTGAGACGTATCAAAAAGGATGTGGAAAATGAGCTGTCGGACAAAATTGAGATTATGGTATATTGTCCGCTGACTATNCGACACTCTTCGACTCGCATGATGAATTCAATGAATGGTTCTCGAAGGATATCGAATCGCATGCCGAGAATAAGACTGGTATCGATGAGAAACAAATATCACGACTACATATGATACTCAAGCCATTCATGTTGAGACGTATCAAAAAGGATGTGNAACACTCTTCGACTCGCATGATGAATTCAATGAATGGTTCTCGAAGGATATCGAATCGCATGCCGAGAACAAGACTGGTATTGATGAGAAACAAATATCACGATTACATATGATACTCAAGCCATTCATGTTGAGACGTATCAAAAAGGATGTGGAAAATGAGCTGTCGGACAAAATTGAGATTATGGTATATTGTCCGCTGACTATACGACAAAAATTGCTTTACATGGCGTTGAAAAAGAAGATACGAATTGAAGATTTATTGCATTTCACGGGTGGCGGGGCGGGAAGTTCCGGTGATGGTCATCACTTTGATAAGAATTTTACATCAAATCTCATGAATTTGGTGATGCAGTTTCGTAAAGTATGCAATCATCCAGAATTGTTTGAACGACGTGACGCTAAAAGCCCTTTTGCCATGCGCTGTGAGGAATATGTGTTGCCACGTCTGGTATATAATGATTGTTTGCTTCATCGCGCCATACCAAGCAAACGCCATCTGCTTTACAATAGGTCTGGAGGCATAGAAATCCACTTTTTTTGTCTATTCGATTTATTAACATGCCTGTATTTTCCAGATTCTCAATTTTTAAGGCAGCTTCTATGCTGAAATCACTTTTCAGTGAACCTAGCGTCACCAAAGCATCAAAGTCCAACGAATACTATGCACGTTATGTAGACTTGAATGTCAGTGATGATTGCTGTTTCAGTTTCACCCGACTGTGTGACCTGTCACCGGGAGATATGGAAGATGTTACTATTAACGGCTTGGTGTCTTAGTAAGCTTACGTCAGCTACTTCAAAAGTCACGAATTAGTTTTAATTTACTGCTTACGAATATCTTTCAGCATTTTACACTACCGTCGCAGAATAGTGCAATACGCTCTATTAGCATACCGCCGCCAATGGTGGTCGCATTATAACGCTACACGCTTTCAACTGCTAGAGGTGATGCTTGAGAATCCATTGCAGCGCAGCTTTATGTTTGAGCAAAGTGTGTTACGTAATTTCGTATTTACTGGTGTGGTGAGTGTTTTAAATTACTAGCTTTATCATAAAACTACTGGAATTACCAAATTTTTTGCTATATCCATAGACGTCTCAGGAGAGCACTGTTTACGCCTTTGGTAACTACAAAACAGTCAACATTCAGGAAACTATTGAACACCGCGTCATACGCAGCAAACATGTTGACTTAACGAAAAAATCGGCGATCGAACAAGCCAGTTACAATGACTCGATGACTATAAAAACTGAATTAGACTTGGACACGAGTGAAGATGCAACACAAATGAGTACAACACCTGTGTCAAGCAAGTCACAAAAATCTGCACCGAAACATGGTGAGGATGTAGACTCCAATGGGAAGCTTCTGCCTGAATTTCAACATATACCACGCACACCCACTCTGTACCAATGTGAATCGCTACAAATGCCGCGCTTCCTCTATGGTCTCAGTCAACGTGTACAAGCCGTTAAAAGACATATGTAGTGAGTAGCATAATGAATCATATATTCGAATATACGCAATAAATATTTAAATTAATATTTAAATTGCTTGCAGCTGTGAAAGCCGTGACGCTGCTTGGACGCAGATACGCCACTTACAGTGTGAAAATCCTGCTGGCATGGAACTGGTTAATACTGCCCTCGATTTGTGTCGACCACGTTACGGTTGGTCTTCAATTGCGGTGCCCGACAAGCAAACACTCGTTTCGGATGCCGGCAAGCTAGCTGTGCTGGATAGTTTGCTAACACGCCTCAAAGCGCAAGGACATCGTGTGCTAATCTATTCCCAAATGACGAAAATGATCGATTTGCTGGAGGTTAGTTGGCGTTTTCTGATTGTTAATTAATGTGTTAAAGCTTTATTTTTGTTTAATTTTATTAGGAGTATATGTGGCATCGCAAGCATCGTTATATGCGTTTGGATGGTTCGAGTAAAATTTCAGCACGTCGTGATATGGTTGCCGATTTTCAAACGCGTGAAGATATCTTCGTTTTTCTTCTCTCAACGCGTGCTGGAGGTTTAGGTATCAACTTAACGGCTGCAGATACGGTAAGTGATGATTTTTTTTAAAGCTATCAATTTTATTTTATTTTATACATACGTATATAAAACTTTCAATCTTTATACAGAATTTAGAAAAATTAAACAAATTTTCATGAAACTTTATACTTTTTATTTTGGGTATGCAATTAATAATTTATTTTCTTGACCAAACATGCATTTGTTTTGGAAGAAAATGCGCAAGACCGTTTTCAAAAAAATTAAAAGAAAAAAATTATATTAAAAAAAAACACAAAAACTGTCGGCAAAAAAAATAATAAAATTATAGTTTAAAAAACTAAAACCTCCCTATTATAATTGCCATTCGTACTGTCATCAGGTATGTAACGGGGGAATAGAAATCGCTGCATCTTTTAGGCGCATCAATATTACATAGTTACATCCCGAGCTAATAAAAGAAAGGTAAAAATTATTAAAAATCGATGTGTTTTTTATCCGTTTAAACCTTGCACTTTATTTATTAAAATTTACTAGACTTTAAAACAGTACACCCAAACATTTTCTAAAGATCATTTCAAATTATAAAATTCGAAATTTTGATGAGGAATTTTCAGTTTTTCCCAATTCTGTATAAAGTTTGATTTATAGTTAATTTACTACAGCTTTTGTAGATAGGCAAATAAAGGCTCTGTTGTTGTTGTTGTTGTTGTAGCAGCATACAAGTTCCCCATAGGGTTTTTGGGGAGTGTTGCTGGAGTGACAGTCCTTGGCCAGATATAAATCTGGGTTGTTCCGGTTACGTGGACCCGACTGTCGTGGGAACGGCTCTGTATACATGTTTGGTGTATAATTTCAAAAATACCAAATTTTGAGTTGTGTCACTTTTGCAGATCGTGTGCGAAATGTCAAATTTCGCACTCACTCATAGGAAGTTTTGACATCTGTTTACTAAGGCGAATTAAAGCGGCTGTTCTATCAACACCACCGGCCGATGAGAAAACTGCGTATCAAGCGACAACATGAGGTCTCTCTTAGCAGTGTAGCGTTCTGACAGGGTGTTTTGCGTTTTAAAGCTGAAGCTATCAAAATATACAACGCAGATTCATATTTCTTGCACATATTTACTTGAAAAAGGTTTCTTCAAAATAAGGTTTGTGTAACCTTACCTGGTATAGGTCGCCAAGTTATGCAATTTATTTTCCAGCAGCCAAAAATTGTGTTGCTCGCGGAATCGGCTAGTTTCTCTACCGATTCACTCATTAAAATTACTTATTACCATTTGTTTTTAACACTTGAGTAGCCCGTCTATTTAGCCCAGGGTAACCAGCGGAAGGGAACACAGCACTTAACGCCATAAACACTCAGATAACTCGTGGCCTTAACCGAAACCGTCCCTGTGAGAGAACGATTCTAGTAGCGTTGGACTTGTCAAAGGCGTTTGACACCGTGTGCCATTCCACGCTACTAGAAGATATAGAGGCCTCCTCTCTCCCACAGAGGCTCAAACGGTGGTCGGCAAATTATCTGAGTGGTCGACATTCGTCGGTAATGTTTAGAGACAAAACGAGTAAGCAGCGAAAAATAAAACAAAGCTCCCTCAACCACCAGAGGGAGTCTCGATTGTCTCTTATGCCGACGATTGCTCGATCATGGCGACTGGGAATGGAATTGATGACCTGTGTTCGAAAGTAAACGGGTATCTCTCCGAACTTTCTCGCTTCTTCACTGCAAAGTGTCTAGCCCTCTCCCCTACGAAATCCTCCGCGACCCTGTTCACAACCTGGACGAAGGGGTCAGGCTACCGCTGGGGATTGACGTGACATGCACACCAATTCCGACGGTGAATAACCCCAAAATACTAGGAGTAACATTCGACAGACTGCTCTCCTTCTCTGCGCACTCAACCGCTATTGTCAATAAAGTACAGAGCCGCAATAAGGTCCTCAAGTCGCTAGCCGGCAGTACTTGGGGCAAAGACAAAGAAACGTTGCTGGCAACATACAAGGCAATAGGCCGGCCGGTTTTGAACTACGCAGCGCCAGTGTGGTCGCCAGGGACTAGTAGGACGCAGTGGACGAAGCTACAGACTGTACAGAACACCGCACTCAGGACAGCGACAGGATGCCTCCTGATGTCGCCTGAACACCACCTGCACGGCGAGGCGCAAATGCTCCCTGTAAAGGAGCACAATATAATGCTCTGCAAGCAGTTCCTGATCGGGAGCACAGAAGTGGCCACCCAAGCAGACAGCTGCTTGCAGAGGAGCCCTCGCCTAGGCACGTCAGGAGGCACCTATAGGAACTGACGGACGAAGTCCAGAGGTTTCATTGACCCGACAGCGTACCGACAGGCCCTGAACGGCATTCACAGGGACTCAGTCTCGAGTTATGTAGACTCTAGACCTGTGAATGCCGTTCTAGGCATACCACCCCCGGACATAGACGAGACGGAGCTTCATCTGCCTCGGGAAACACGCACACTGCACCGCTGGACTGCAGCAGGTTGAACATCCTACCTGAGTAGGTTGAATGAGGATGTGTCGAATGAGTGTCCGGCATGCGGAGAGACCCCACATGACTCGAAACATCTCTTCGCATGCCCGGAAAACCCGACAACCCTAACGGCCCTGTCCCTGTGGACAAACCCCACAGAAGCTGCACGCTTACTAGGGTTGCCGTTAGTGAAACTTGACGACAACGACTGAGATACCAACCGTCCTGGGCGGGGTTGTTGTAGCCGCTACAACAACAACAACAACAACATTTGGAATCCTTCAAACGTCATTTGGGTCTACGTAACCGGAATGGCCCAGATTTATATCTCGCCAAGGACTGTCACTCCACTTACACTCCCCAAAAACTATTTGGAATCGACATCGTTTACAAAGGTTTAGCATCATTTTCAACGAAATACTTCTTTTATGAACTCTCGCCATGCAAATGTCCTAATCGCAGTCCCAACATTACGTTTAGCCGACGACGAACTTTAGCTGCCTCGTGAGAGCCATTTTACTCAAGCACAGTTACGTTCTTAATACGTTAGCAGGATAAACTTATATTTCAGAATAAACTCAAAGAAATCTGCACTGTTTATTTAGCTAAATACTTCCTTCTTTTGGTTTGTACTCGTCGTGTGCATATTCACAAGCTAACCACACATTATCTTGCAGTATTTTTTTTTTATGTAATGTAATAGTTCAAAATATCAAACAGTTTTTTTTTGGCGCGGAGTCCACCAGGTTAAAACATGGGAAAGTCTAGTTTTCTTCGTGTATTTTCCTGCCTTCTGTCACAATTAAATAAGATAGTTCCATATATTCTTCTTTATCAAAAAGGAAAACTATCCGAAAATTGTATTCTACCGAATTTCAGTGGTATTTGAAAANAAGTTTTTTTTTGGCGCGGAGTCCACCAGATTAAAACATGGGAAAGTCTAGTTTTCTTCGTGTATTTTCCTGCCTTCTGTCACAATTAAATAAGATAGTTCCATATATTTATCTTTATCAAAAAGGAAAACTATCCGAAAATTGTATTCTACCGAATTTCAGTGGTATTTGAAAAGCAATGTGAGCCGAAATGTAATTTAAAACTCCGCGTTTTGGGCCATATAAATATAATAGTGTTTGGCCGAACTTCTCCTCTAATTTTGGGTGTGCGTCTTGATGTTGTAACACAAATGGAATGAAGTTGGGTATATTAAAAGGACACTTGGGACCCAGGCGGCGATACTAAATATCACACCGGATACGCAATGTCGCATCGGCTTAGAGGGTCTCAACACTTTCTTTTAAATTGATAAGATTTTGCAAGACAACGGTCCAAACACCTAAAATCGGTCTTTTTAAGAAGCCCGCAGTAGCTTCCCCGGACTCAGGTCTGCCACCTGCGAAGTTTTTTTCTTTGCACACGGCGTTTTTCGCTTTAACATACAGGTTAACGCTTATAGTGGCAGGACCAGATGCTTATGGTCTTACTGCGGCATTGTTTGAGCAAGTATTTACTTTAAACTAACCTTAGTCTTTGAGATTGCTGTGAGCCGTATGCCAAAGAAAGTAAAACTTTATTGGAATAACCGATATTTTGCAAAAAGGGTGATAAGCGTTTTTCATATTATCAAAATTGAATAGCCATGCTACTAACTAGCAAAGCGTGAGAAATTACAAGAAGATTTCGCTCCACTGCAGCTCAATTAATTTCTGCAATGTATTAAAGTTTTTCTTTTTGGTTGTCGGTTTTTCCGAAGAAATGCCGTCAAGCTTAATTTGATATGGGATGACAGCAAACTGTTCGACAATATATCGATAAAAGTTTCCATGCCGTTAGTTCATTGGTACTAAATAATTTTATAATGGTATATGCTATCAGAAATGACCAACGATTAATCTTATCAACTGACTTTATTGTCTCATAAATCCCATAAATAACTGGAATATATGTACTTATAAAAGTATGTATGTATTTATGTGCTATATGCACTCCAATTAGACTGTCTCCACCATGCTTTGTGCTGTGCGTTTTATTTGCCTTTCTCCTAATCGGCCAACCACTCACGCACCAAGCTAGCTAGTGTATCCTTTGACGCACGCATCTCGGCGGTATCTGAGCTGCTTATTGAAGTGAAATCCGAGCAATGTGATTCCAATGGTAATATTGTGGCACCATCTGCGTCTGTATGGCCAATAGCACTCCATGGATCGAGGGAGCCGTGTGTTTGATAAATATTTTCCACATTCGGCGACATGCCACCGAAATCTACATTGGTTTGTGCTACCTTGGCGCTGATATTTGAATTTGTGTATTCATCACCGAATACGTCTTGACACAAGGTAGTATACAGGAGGGCAGGGAATTTGGTGCCGAATGGTTGATTTCTTGAGGCAGACGATTCATACCAACCATATTCGTTGCAGGTCTGATAGTACCAGGGGCGGCCTGTTGTTTATAGAATGGAGGAAGAAAGCGAGAATTATTATAGGAATGGGAAAAATGTATTTTTATTTGATTTCACTTAAATACCTAAATTTAATTTAGTGTTTAATTTCATTCGATTTTATTCCATTATATTGATTAAACTTAATTTAACTTTATTTAATTTGATTAATTTAATTAAATTGCTTAAATTCAATTAGTTAAACAAAGTCAATTTTTAATTTAATTTAGTTTAGTTTAATTTTATTAAGGCGTATTTAATTTAATTTAACTTAATTTACTTAAACTGATGTGTTCTTTTATTAATTATTTAATTGCATTAAATCAAATTAAATTTTATATAATATANCACTTTATTTAATTTGGTTAATTTAATTAAATTGCTTAAATTCAATTAGTTAAATAAAGTCAAATTTTTAATTTAATTTAGTTTAGATTAATTTTATTAAGGCGTATTTAATTTAATTTAACTTAATTTAGTTAAACTGATGTGTTCCTTTATTAATTATTTAATTGCATTAAATCAAATTAAATTTTATATAATATAATATTTTTAGATTTAACTCATTTTAATTTAATGTATTTTAACTTAATTTAATTAACCCTCTTTTATTATAACTAATGTAATTTTTTTTTAATTTAATTTAGTTTAGTGTAATTTAATTTACTGAAATTTGAATTATTTAACTTTAATTTAATTAGATGTAATTTATTTAATTGATTTGAATTATTTTTTTAAACTAATTTTAATTTAATTTTTTTCACTTAATTCCATTCCATTTAATTGTTGCAATTTAATTTATAATATACTTTAATTTTAATTTATTTTACCTTAACTCGTTTGAATTAATCGTTACTCATTCTCACGTAAATCGTTGAGTTTAGTTTAACTTGCCTTAGTGTAATTTAATTTGCTTAAACTCATTTGAATATATTTATTTTATATTAATTTAATTAAGTTCAAGTTATTTAAATTTAATTTTATTTAAATTGATTTAATTTGATTTAATTTAGCTTGGTTTATCTTAATTAAATTTAGTTCAACTTAATCTAATTCAGTTTAACTAATTTGAATTTGACCAAACTCTCAATTTAACGTTATATTTAAAAAAAATATGTCTCATATAATTCATGTTATTTACTTTAATTAAATTTANAGTTTAGTTTAATTTAATTTAGTTCAACTTAATCTAATTCAGTTTAACTAATTTGAATTTGACCAAACTCTCAATTTAACGTTATATTAAAAAAAAATATGTCTCATATAATTCATGTTATTTACTTTAATTAAATTTAATTTTATTATTTTATCTAAATTTTTCTCTTGATTTTACTTACTTGCTCCATAAGCATAAGTCGAGTCCAGATAGTAGGCCAGCGTGTCCTTATAGGTTAGATCCACGCAGCGGGTGCCGATATAGTTCAATAAGAATTTCGCGATCGCCGTAGCGTCATCCTCTTGCGCTAGAAGATAATTGCAGACAATTGGCACGTCATCGCCGCTGTGTGAAGATATATAATTTTTTATTTGGCTAACTTTATGTATTTCTCGTTAACTTACGATTGATACTGTACGATGCCGGCGAAAAGATTCGAGATACTAGAAAATAATGTCCACAGATCCAAATCATTATTTTCATCAAAGTTATTGCAAATCTTCATCATGGCTTTTACTTCCGCAGCGCGACCTTGTTGAATCATTGCTTCTAATTCGGCTATGCCATTATGTACACGATCGTAGCACTGCTGACCGCTCAATTCGAGTAATGCGCGACCAGTTACCTCTTTGTATTCTGAAAAAAAAAATCGACAAATGAAAGCAATTGAAGAATCGCGCCCCAAATTATAATTTTTTCTCTCTTTATCCTACCCCTGAAATCCACTTTAGCTAAGAGCGGCGCACTTGAAGCCCATCCTCCGTCTAGGAGCTCTGGGTAGAGGTGCTTGAACCACACAACCATTGTCGCTGAGTAAGAACCGCCCGCCATGATGACCTTTGAATTGGCCAAGGCAGTATTATTTTGACGCTGAAAGCTGATAAAGTGCGCTAAATCGGCAAGCGCCTGTTTCACATGCAAATACTTCAAGTTCTCAACAGTGATGTCACTAAAGTAAAGTGATTATATAATACAACATGTATAATGCTTTTAATCCCCGAGTTGTGACTCACCTTGTTGGTTTACTTTGGCCATAGTAACGATGCTCGGTATAGAAGAGTATGCCATTGTGCTCTGCTGCTAAATCGACAAAATGACCGCGACTAATACTACCCGATGATATCGCCCACTCGCCACCCAAGTAAATGAACATCGGTCCACCCTCCGTGAAGTATTCATCGTTCTCCATGTAACGCTATAAAATTTTCAAAGCATAATGTCGCACATCAGCAATACTTTTGAAATAATTTTCACTACCAACCATTTGATAGGTCCCTGTGTTCTCTTCATCGAAATGATCCAATTTTTGCTCGATCCACTTGGTCACCACTTCTGCGCGACTGCTCGCCTGCTCAATGGGCGGCTCGCGATTCAAATAGTTCAAAGTTTGCACAAAGAAATTGCCTTCGGAGGTGGTGGCATCAAAGAATTTCGCACTCAACTTCTCCAAACTCACTTTAGCCGTGGACGCAGAAACGCTCAAGGCGAGCACCAGCAGTAGCACTTGTTGTAGCGACTTCATTTTGCCAAATGACCACTGGCTAATTTTCATAGTCCTATAAATGCAAACATATGTATGTATCTACTTCAGTGCCCACTTATGTCAGATGGTTTTTCTCTAACTTTATTACTCACGCTTTATTGATTAGATTTCGCTGATTAAGATATACAGCATTTATTACCAAGTTGATTATGATTAGTTAATATTTAGTGTAGCTATCGGCCTTACTAGTTTCCGTACGATAATCATTCGAATATTTTTGTTGTTGTTTGGTTATTGCAATATCCTTGCGCGTTAAACATTGAACAAGAGAGTTCAGTACTCTGCCGACCATACATAATATTCTTATAGTATTGCCGTTGAGGATTTGTGTTATGGATAATCTAAAACAATAAAGTAACCATAGGATAGATATGTTTTACATCTTTCTTCAAGGTCAAGCAGTATCTGCCAACAGACAATGCCCGGTTAGAATCTTCGTAAGCTTGATATTACACGCTGTCCACATAATCCTAGGCGCTTTGCCACTTACGCCTCTCGGATTATGCAAAGGTCGATCTCCCGTTTAATCGCTGGAAGGGAAATCAGCTCTTCCTCCATCAGCGTACTTTCTGACAGTGCAACTTCTTTGGCAAGGCTCTGCCTTCTCGTTGTCCATTACAGCTGTGTGCCACGGAATCCCGTACAAATGTACGTCTGTGCCCTTGTATAGCAAATCTAAACTGCCCTGCACTCCACAACACTTCTTGAGAAAGTGGCAGTCGATATAGAGCAGCCCTGGGCGGCGTCCGCCCGGCGGGTGACTTCGCGTATACATACACGCTCTGCTTGAGAAGGCAGCGAAAGCTTTATTTAACTGCACGACTTGTTCGCACGCACACAGTGGCATCAATTGCACACACCTCAGACATAGACATTGGCCCCTTTATTGGTTAGGTTGCTGCTCCGCCGCTCTCTTTATGGTCAGTTCTTCTGCCTGGAAAATGTTGCAATGCTCCGGCAGCTTATAAGATTTATTAAGATCGAGCTTAGTGCAGATGACTGCCCCGCTCATGCCGTTGTCAATATTCTACCCGTTTGTGTGCCTCCGCCGAGTCAGATCTACGCATGCCCTCACACCTCAGCTCTTCGACCTATATATCGGCTTCGAAATGCGTCCCAAAGTTCAAATCCGGGATCATGTACTTAGACAATCCATCCGGGGCTATACTACTGGGTCCTTAGAACCTGCACACAAGCTTTCTCGTAGCATTAAGCCTGGCGGAACGCTATATTCTTGACCGATAGGTCCGCCGGCAAGAGATGCAATAAGGTGTGAAGCGCTTCCGTCGTTGGTGTAGCCCAAAGTACTTCTATCATGCCGATCTTGGATAGCCTATTTACACTTTCTGTCCATCAAACCAATACCCCAGGGAACAGTATTGGCCTAACGATTGCCATGAACATCCAGTGAGAGAGTGAGCTGATAAGCCCCAGCTGCAGTTCAGTATATTTTTGCGGCAGGCTCATTCTACTAGCATATCTCTTCAAAGCTTGACTTAAGCCATCGTTTGCAGGTATATAGCGGGGCAAGAGGAGCTGACATCAGACAGGTTGGCTCCCTTCCTCTCCAGTTCTTTTTCCGTGGAACTGTCTTCTATTTATGCATCTTAACCAGAAGAGAGTTACAGCTGTGACTTTGTGGTCCAGTAGTAATTGACGACAAGTGCTTTGTCTACAAACTTCTGCAGACCCTGCAGGTTTGAATGCCCTGACACCAGTGATTAGTCGTATTAAGCTAGCGATAAAATATCTGGCCCTTAATATAGTTTAGCGGAACACTTTTGAAATACTCAGGAAAAATCCACCAGCCCAGCTTGTCCGCCAATTCGTTGCCAGATCAGAAAAGCGAACATGATTCCACCTCGTAATCCTTTAGCGAGCTACACAATAGGAACCTGAAATGATTTTAAGTCATATCGAATGGGCTCCTAATGGAAAGTTATCGATCAGAACTCTTACCAGAACCGAGATTTGACACTTAGTCGGCTGAAAAAGTTTCTTTGACCGCCCGCAGATAGGCAGTCGACTATCGGCCAGAAAGGCTTAGCATCTTTTCATGTCACTTTCTTCGCCCAGCTCTTACTGTCCAGTAGCAGTCTGCTGGTGGCCTATAACTTCCCTTATAGAGGAGATGACCGTACCTAGCTATTTCATCAGCCTAACAGTTTTGTTTTTGCTATTGTAACGGCTAATTAGTCCTCTCTAGAATCGATCGTTGTCGTCAAGATCACCTAACCGTAGTCCAGGGAAATGTTCGGTTTCGATGGGGTCGGACCAGAGGGAGAAGGGTATTAGTTTAGTTGGATTGAGTGGATATGTGTCACCTGGCGATTCTTCTTCATACACTGGGTGCATCGGGGTATATCCTGCATAACCTGCATAAGTAGGAGTTTAACGTACAACAGTATCCAGAGTTTGCTGTTTTCTGCATTGCCACTCGACCAATGCCGACCAGTTTCGATTGCACCAAAAGCAATCCTACACTCCCGATTGTCGGCTGGGTGCCAGAGTATATTTTCCGTTTTAATCATTATTACACTGCTATATGGCCAGTTGATTATCTATTTTATACATAGCTGCCACCTCTGCTTAAAACAAGCTGTAAAATTTCGGAAATCTAAATTTGAAATTAACAGAGAGTTTCTGACACAACACGCCTCTTCAACCTTCGATTCATGCCTAGCAAAACAGACTGCGGCAGCCTTACCACTAATGTATACTCATGGAGGCTACCGCCGCCACGGCCTGCTCTCCGAACAGAACTTCCACAAATAGGATAATCTCTGTCATCAGATTGACAACCTTTTCGATGCCATAGGTTATGACTGCGTGACACTCACCGATTGGCAGAGGGACTCCGCATTTGGGTTTAGTGATACCGTTCCTCGCATCTATCCAAATTGACAACCTTTCTGCGATGCGTAGGTAAGTGCGGATTGCAGTAGCGGATAATTTCCTTAATCTCCTCGAACGCGGAAGGATTGAATGGGTTCCAGACACAGGCACGCGGACTGTCCAGTGCTTCGAGCTTGGCGCCTTTCCAACCTTCCCCAGATACACTGCAGCGGTGACAGGTAACAAGGTCAATGGAAATAAGGTCAATTGACTCTATTTCCCACCCTGGTGCG